ACTAATTGTTTAAAGCTTTTTTTTTTAGATATATAAGTCTAATCGCTTTAGCACCTGAAAGGTAACTTTTTGAAAATATTGAAAATGGAAAATAACTCTAATAACAACCCACCCTCTCCTTATCTGGCTATTCCTACCAATACAACCCGCTTTCATTATAATTCAAATGATATCACTGGTCCTCATCAACCATCTTAACCATCTTATAACGATAATTCTGATTCTGACAAATCTACTAGATTTATAAGAAGTACACATAATACTTTTTCTGTAATGAGTAGTAGAAGTAGGCAACATCAATTATCCCTTCCAACCCAATCAAGACAATCCAGACAATCCGCCCAACAAACTTCTTCTAGGCAACTATCACCTTCCAGACAATCTGTCTAGCAAACTTATTCTAAACAACTATTGCCTTCTTAACCTATCTCTCGTGTATCGCGATCATTATCGCTGCAGCCACAGCAAACACGTGGAAGATCGGCATCGCCTGATTATCGATCTTCCAATCAAAATCATTCACATAATCTTGATGGTATAAAAAGTTTTTTTTTTTTGATTTTTGAATGTTGATCTTTTGATCTAATTTTTTTTTTTTTTTGAAACTTTTTTTTTTTGTTACCTTTTTGAGCTTGTTCAAGTCATCATCGTCATGAAGCTGAGGACAGAGAACGTCTCTTTGCTCAAAACCGCCAAATATACCTCCTGATCAGGCAGTTAAATGACGATTTTCAAGATTTGAGGAATGAAATATGGCACAGAAACGTTCAAGGTACTCAAGGTATTCAAGGCGAGGATCTTTCGCCCAAAGTGTGAAATATAAGTATTATAGAAAGCAAGAGCATATTTTGAGCACTTTTTTTTTTGGCATATTCTGAGCGCTTTTTTTTTAGCATATTCTAAGCATTTTTGTTTTTACATTTTCGCAGGAAGTATATATTAGCATTGTCAAACGCCTTTTCTCGTGTGTAATATATCCCACCCAAGATGAAATAAAAGAGTCCCTCAAGGACTACTTGAATGAAAAGTTCCCTGAATTCATAGCAAACTTAAGTGCTAATGATTTTGCAAACTGGTTCCATGGTGTATAGTGTTCTCAGGTAAGCAATAATATTTGACACCTGTGTATATCATTTTATATCATTATTAATCATTTTCAATAGGTCTAAGCATTTTTTATGGTACTCAATTTCCAATAGCTTTTACAAAAAATGAAGAACCTACATGGTTCAGCGTTGCAAAACATACATTCGGCAATTTGGAGTGTATTTGGTCGTGAAAGGCTTCCTCGCCTCAGAAGCAATGTTAGTGCTAAGGATATAGTAAAGTGAAAGCAAAGCCAAGAAGTATACGATTGCTATTGTGCGCTCTATGAGCAAGATAATAAAGGTGTTTTCTGGGTTGCAATTATTGCAAGAACTGCATTCAGCATAGCTACTGCCCCTACTCTCACAAACCATCATTGTGCTTTCACACTAGCCATGTGTGATATTATATTGAATTCCCAATCGAAAAATCTCGTCTGTAGCGAAAGTTGAATTAAGCATCGCATGGTACGCTATTTGATAAGTATTTGTAACATATCGATTATAACTACAAAATGAATATTAACCTTTATTATACTAGAATGACTTTAATAACGGCAGTCCTAATCAAGAATCGGCCAACACAATCATTAATAATGAGCTTGCTTCAGGCTCTCACGAAGCTAAACAATCAACACAAATGCAATCAATGCAGGCCAATTCCAATACTGAACCTGACCTCAATACAACTCCCCTGTCCCGAAGTAATTCTTTAATTCTTTCGCAGGATGCACAGGACG